CTAATTTATTGTTACAGTTATAACAAGATTTTAATCAAAAAATCAATTTTATTTATCTGTAATTAACCCTTTCACTCCCAAGAGTGCTTGGTTTTCAAATATAATTTAAGATATTGTATTTTATGGAAAAGAATCAACAGATTTTATTCACAATTTGTGTCAAACCAAATTTAATGATTGATTAGGACTATTTTATATGAATAGCTGTAATTGAGGATTAATCTGTATGAAGTTTTCAAGAAAAGAAAAATAAATAAAACTCCATCCTAATATTACCAAATGCTGATGTTAATAATTAATCAAAAATATTTTACATGTAAGCCTTAATTAAGCTTCTAAATAAATTTCATTGAATACTTGAATTTTAGCTGGGTTTTTTTAATTTAAAGTATTTATTTTATATCATTAGCCTCAAATTTTTACTTAAAATTCCCAGTAATTCTTAAACATTCCTAAAAATTCCCGAAAATTTCCAGAAATTCCTAGGAATTTTTTAGATTTACAGCTTTTCAGGGAAAGTCATTGCTTCTCTGAGTTGGAATTCCTAGGAATTCCTTGGAATTCCAAGTCCTGTTGGCTATAAACTTGGAATTTCCAGGAATTTCTAGGTTTTTAGAACCAGAGTTGTTATGGTTGGGAATTCCCAGTCTGAATTTACCGTGAAAATTCACACCTTTATTCCTAGGAATTCCTAATCTGACCACCCGTAAGGCCGTAGGGTAAGCCACAGGGAAGGCCATGGCCTGCCGCACGTTTTTTCCACACCCCTTTTCTCAATATATTTTGTATCTTTACTGCCCAGAGGGTTTGTTTGTGGTACAAGATTTAGAATGTATGGTTTCCATATATTTATATATATATTTTTTCTTTTTTAGCTTAATGTTTGAGGTTAGAAATGTTACCACAAAGGAAAACAGTGGAGATCAATGTATAACAGAGAGGTACACATGGCTTTTCCATTGAAGTTTACTGTTCTCTTTGCTATCAAATTCAGCATTTTTAGTTCTGGAATGTGCTAACAACAGAAATAATGTTATCAGCCATTGCATCGATAAACAGCCATGTATTGGCACTTATGGAGACAAATATAATGCTTTGGCTTCAGGGGAGAACAGCTATAACATTCGAGCAGCATTGTATCCAGCAAAGAAGCCATCTTCTGTGAATGTGTATGGACCTAATGGAACATAGAGTCCTAGATCAAATGCAGTCAATTACACTTGGAGTACAAATTGCCTATTTGTTGCATTACCTGCAACTGTCCTGCTCAATATTAGTGGATCCTCACACAAGTCATCTAGATATCACTCTACCATCCTTTTGCTGTAAAGTTTGTGAGAGCAATAGGGAAAAGATGATTAAGGATGTTATTTCGCACAACAGACTTTTCGCACAAGTCTTTTAGCACAAATTTCGGACCGTTCGCACAATTCTTAGTGGTCATTTCGCACAATAAATATAAGTGAAAAACATCAATATAAAAGGTATACTGATTGATACTGATAAGACATTTCACCTTCACAAGATCCAACGGCGAAAACTTAGACATTTATTTACGTAATAACTTCAGCTAGATCGAAATGCTCGTGAACACGATCACTATTCTTACTTGAAGAAAGGAAAGGCAGAAATCTCTCTTTCTATGAAAATGTAAAGAACTCCATTTTCGAACGACTAATTCTATAACTTTTCCTTTGTTGAACGAAAAAGCTTTTAGTTTTGACAGTATCATCGACTACGAACATGCAAACATGACGACCCACGCTAAGGACACCATGTTGATTTCGAAAGTAATGGTCACTAGTCTTCCCTCCTTGTGCGATCGCATTCAAACAGCATGTTTTATCGATCTGTAAGAGTTTCAAATAAAGCTATTGAAAACTTGCTTCTTATATCTTCGTTATATAATGAAAATTAGGCATACTGGTAATACGTACAGCAAAAACAGTTCAACGTTAATAACTCGATATTCAGAGAGTGCTTCATATCGAATGTCGGCACGTGCAAGTGTTGTGATTTGACAACTTGAACGTGTCAGTGTAGGTAGAAACTAGTGATCTTGTAGAAAGACAAGTTCGATCTGTAATCTTTTTAAAGATCGTAAAGTTTAATACATCTATTAAGTAGTAACCTTTCAAATTATTCTAAAAACAATTACCTAAGCGATGGAGAGTTCAGTATCGATCGATAAGTGTCATAGCGACCGTGATGTAAACAAATGATTTCATGAAAGTTTCAAGAATTCAAAATAATTTAAAGATTATACGCTAGCCGTTCGATAAGTAATCATATAAGCTTAAGATCAAAACAAATAAAGAAATCTAGATGTACTATAGCTTAAATGAATGTAGGAAAGGGCTAAATGTCTACGAGTCTTGACCGAGTAGCAAGTTAAAATATGCATGATTCGTCGGGCAACGTGGCCGTGAACTTGAATTTTATATATTAACACGGAAATGTTGTAAATAGGTCTTTTGTCCTTTTAAATAAAAAGTGAAACAGTTTCCAGGTTTTTACTTTGACTTCAGAGGAGGGAGGATTGGTGACAGTTACTTTCGAAATCAACATGGCGTCCTTAGCGTTGGGTCGTCATGTTCGTATGTTTGTAGTGGTGGAGCAACTTCAGAATACCCCGTCACTCATTTACATGTCATTGAATAAGAATAGCGTCTATTGTGTTATGCCTCGATCTTCAACGCCTCCCGACACATGTAAGTGAGGCGGACCAAAGTGGCGGGGTATTCTGAAGTTTAGCCGTAGTGGTTGATGTATTGTCAAAACTAAAAGGTTTTTCGTTTAACAAAGGAAAAGCAATAGAAGTAATCGTTCGAATAAAGAGTTCTTTACATTTTTATAGAGAGAAAGATTTGTTCCTTTCTTCAAGTAAGAAACAGTGATCGTGTTCACAAGCGTTTCGATCTAGTTGAAGTTATTACGTAAATAAATGTCTACGTTCTCGCCGTTGGATCTTATTGAAAGTGACATGTGAAGGTGAACTGTCTTATTAGTATCAATTAGTATACCTTTTATACTGATGTTTCTCACTTATAATTATTGTGCGAAATGACCACTAAGAATTGTGCTAACGGTCCAAAACTTGTGCTAAAAGACTTGTGCGAAATGTCCTGTATTCGCTGAGGTAGGTGTAAATCTGCTGGTATGTGATTTTCCTTGCTTCATCTGAGAACATTATAGTTAAGGTATAAGAACTCCTTGTTTGTTTTTTATTGGACCATATTAATCAAAGAGTCTCCAAGTCATATCTCATTAATGAATTTTTAAATGAATAGAAAAGTTAATTCACTTAAAAAATGCACATGCTTACACAGAATAATATAGAGCTATAGCCAACCTTGAAGTGGACCTGCAGATGTTATTTTTCACATGTCCAATCACTGAATGTTAATCCTTGTGGAAAGGAGCACACACTTGGATTGGTGGATTGGAACTTGTTTCCTTCAAATTCTATTGAAACCATATGAAAAGGTGTCTCAAAAATAACCAGTACACAGCATCACACAGGGCAAAATACGAGTGGATACGTTACATACAGTTGTTCCATTGAAAGAACTGCAATTGCTGCTGACCTTAAAAGCAAAAGATTAACTTTACAACATGTGACTTTTGTGGCACAAAATGGCAATAAATAGAGCACCTTACCTTATATACCATTGGCTTCTTCCCAAGGTTGTATAGAGTTATTGGAAAATCAGAAAAAAAAAAAACTTATTGAGTGATTTCCATTTTTGAGATTATTTAAGCAGCTTTTCAGCATAGCTGTTAACAGGGATGTGTATTGCACTAATTAAGATCTCAAAAAGATGTATTAACTTTATATATCACTATTTTTGCTATCTAATTTATAGCTCCAAGACTTGGCGGTGAGTCCAGCAATACCAGATCCAAGGCTGAACACAGCTGAATGTGTCATTAAGGATCATGACCCAAAAGAACTGGATACAAGACATAGTTATTTAGAGTTTTTGAAGAATTATCCTGAAAAGACTAGCAGTTTTTGTTTTTGGAAGGAAAAGCCTATAGTTCATGCAGCAGATTCAACTGTTTTCGTTATGCTGCTTGTTGAAATTCCATTTATTATCTACACTTTTGCTAAAAGTTGCAAAACAGAGCTTTCTATGATATTTATAATAGTATTTATAGGAATAATCACTACTGAGGGTCCTGTAATTGTCTTCATTTTAAAATGGAAGAAGTATAACCAAGGTAAACCAGGTATTGACCAGGACATCAAGGGAGACAGCAGTGGTAACCAGGACTCTGAGGGAAGCAGCAGTGGTAACCAGGACACTGAGGGAGGCAGTAGTAGTATCTAGGACACTGAGGGAGGCAGCAGTGGTAACCAGGACACTGAGGGAGGCAGCAGTGGTAACCAGGACACTGAGGTAGGCAGCAGTGTCAACCAGGGAGGCAATGGGGGTAACCAGGGCCGTCGGGGAGGCAAGGAGGGTATCCGGGGCACTCAGGGTAGAAACCAAGATACCATAACCCTCTTGAAGTGTTAGCCGAGGAAGACAACCTACAAGGCTCTGAAGAGAAATTAAAAAACCATAAAGAAATTAGATCGCCAGGCCAAAAACGAACACAGCGAGCTGCTACTCAACGAGCTGCAATGAAAATAAATGAACTCTCTAAACTTAATGAACTTTAAATACCATTACCTTTTGACAGTGTAAATATCTATGATCGGCATTTTATGGCTGGCCCGGGAGGGTGTCATGAAATCAGTACATTAACGGCTAATTATGTACGTATAATTAGTGTTCATTATGTACGTCACTAATGAGATAAAGAAGTCTTGACTAACTGGAATAAACACAAGTTCACACACAGTTCAGTCTGATTGATATCTCCGAAAACAAGCGAAGAAACCTAAACTGTGCTTTGTTCTGTTGTAAAGTACTAAGGAAGCTGTTAGAGCACTTAAGAAGTGGGAAGAAACACTTGACTACGTCTCGTGTTTCCCCATACACTTTTTTTCCTCTAGCCGCTTCTTGCGTGCTTTACAACCGAACAGAATACACTCAAGGCTTCTTTAATCGTCAAACATGGAAGAAAACACGAACTTTTAATATTTTGCCTTTTGAGCTTCGTGGAGGGGGTCAAGTGCATCCTTGGACCCACCCTCAGCTCTGTCCTCCCAGTTAGGTCTAGTGAACCGAACTTTAAGATGTATTAAGAAACAAAAGCTTCTCAATGAGCTCTGAGGATACAGGACATGAATGTTCTTCAGAAGGGAAGTAGTCAATTTAACTCTTTGACTCAAACATTGAATCTCCTTTTAATGCTTGCCATTTGACAGCGAAGTTCTTTGAATAAGACTTTTTCCATTAGTCTGCCAAATTTACAAAAATGTACCATGAAGCTTCTCTGGGGAAAAAATCCCTTGTGAATCAAACTTCTTCAACAACGAGTACAACGAAGGGAAAAAATAGTCATGCTTAGCTTAGAGTCAAAACAAAATAAACATACAGTTCCCTACACGACGGTCTTCGCCAAACTAGAGGGACTGCTCGTAGCTAATTGAAAAATTATGTTGGAGCGAGACCCAATTGCTCTAGATAGTAAGGTAAAGTACGCCAAGGTGAGATATATGACATTTTCTGTCGCCTAAACTTCAAATTATCTTTCAGTTGAGAAAAAGTGATTTCAAGCAGCACTGACAAACATCATTTGATAGGGCAGCTCACGTGGAAATCCGTATCCTTACGGAAAGAAATACGATAATATCTGGCTAACTTCAGTGATGGCATCTCACCTAAGTCTTATTCTTAACCATGCAATTTATTCACTTTTTGGCATTGCCACACATCATTTCAAGTACCTCTGACCAAATGCACTTACATCGTTGGGAATACTACAGCAGTTTAGCCAGTAAGCTAAGGCAAGGGAGCAGCTTAAGGTCTCTTGGCCTGAGTAAACGTTCCGTGCAAAGGTTAAAACTTTTTGATGAAGAAGCTTTTAGGCCTAGTTGTGATAATGCGATTAGAGGAGCTGGAAGTTTGTGATACCTGCCAGATCAGAATTAGTCATCCAACGAAGCTGTTCAACAGGAGCTTGTGAATTCCGGGATTCTGCTGAGGTCTTCACCTCGGGGAGACTCTCGGCTGAAGTGGGAAGTACTTCCTCACCATGTGACTGCACCTGTTGTATTGACTCAGTAGCCTTGAGGCTCTAGTTTCCGAATCGTGATGGTTTCTTCGGAAGTTGCATTTAGGCGGGTCAATTATTAGGGGATCTTGAAGTCTCGTGATTCTTTACCAGCAGGCATTCTGTGCGCAAATCTGGTATCCAGGAGATAGCTGTCCACACTCTATATACGATATTGTACATGTGATTACAGTCGTGTGCCATCTTGTCCCTGTAAGTGTTCTCCTTCCAACATATATTATCGTATAGTGAGGCAATCTGAGTAACAGTTCATCCAGATGACAAGGCACTCGTGTTTTCAGTTTGCAGTCGATGCATTCAGCTAATCAGGGAAGAATCCATTGGCCTGGGGTCTATCCCTGTAGAATAGGATGGAGAGCCCTTGTATGAGCCAAAGTCTTTCTTTTTTACTTGTACATGACAACACTCCATAACTCTCTTAGACCGACTGGTGTGGCCTCGTGGCGCAGGTTTAAGTTCACCTGTGGGCTGTTTCTGGAGGAGAACAGCTCAGTCCCGGCACTCCGTAATTGCGAGCATCAGCAGATATGACAGTTTCAAGCTTAGGGTTGTAAATCGACAGGACACCCTCAGAGGCTCGTTCTTGCTTCAGATGGTTAAATACATCTTCTTATCGGACGCGTTTATGTTATGATTCGAGTGGCATACTTGGTGAGTATGTCCTCGTTTACTTTCCTTTTTTGTTTCAATTTTTTTGTTCGTAACTCGTGATATGGCTTAACTTTGTAATCGATTACTTCACTTATTTTCCTTGCATACCGTGCTGCAGAATCACCGCAGTTCCTTGACATCATGTGATTCTACAAAGTTGACGTTAGCCTGAACTTTGGAAGGTTCTTTGTGTAACCCTTGTCCATCAATAATCTTCCTAACGAATTCAAGCTTGGAAACTGAGACCAGACAGTATACTAGGTTCAGGGTTATCC